TTAACTTAAATATAATAAAAATATAATATTATTAAAAACCTTTTATTTAAGTTATTTTTTAATTCTTTTTAAATAAGTTAATAACCTTAATTAAATTACCTTGTTAATGTACTTATCTTATTAATAAGCACTACTATAAGTGGTAAAAGCTTCTCTAGCTAAATTACCTAAGGTGGAGCGTGGCACGAGTACTCCTTTCAAATTGCATTAGCCAGGCACTTTATCCTACTTGTCCACATTTAAACCACCTTATTACTTTAGCTAACACTTCTTACCACGCCCGCCTATACCCTCAGACAAGCTCCTCGGCTGCACTTATAGTACCACGCGCTATCGGATTTAGCTAGAGTTCTGAACAATCATGACCCCGAGTGGCGACCACTTTACCCAGGAAGTCATTCGACTGCGAGCCAATTACCAGGACAAGCGTCAGAGATCCAACCTTTTCCCCCCTACGGGTCTACCTATCCTAGACATGGAGCTTGTACGAGGGGAAAGGCCGTCTATGAGATTCTGGTACGATGATGGCACCGAGGTTGGACGATTCGTCCACCTCTTCGATATACCAGGAACGTTGTCTGGACAAATTCTTCGCTTGGAGCGAAACTTACCTCCAGTTGGAGGTCATTTCGAAATTGAAGGCGACGTTCTTCGCAGTCTCGAAAAATGCCCCAATCCACCCCAACCTGTTCAAGATGATTTCGAGGATACCGAAGATCTCGTCATGCAGCTACCACTTCTTCACGTCGACCCTTCCCAGCATTTCGTCAAGGAGGCGAAATATAGGAGCGAGATTGAGAACCTGTTAATATGTCAGGGCGGGTCGTGTCCTGGATCGATCCTTTCCAGGCACCTTGTTCGTCTCCTTGGCAGATCTTCTAATGGCCAGCTAGTCTTCGAAAGTTAGCCACGAGAGCGTCCATCTTACCGCGATTTTCCTCCCTAGCAATTTACAAGCGCTGGATACTCCATATTATCGACGGGCTGACTTGTCTCCACGATTTCGGTATCGTTCACCGGGATCTTCGTATCGATAATTGTCTCTTTGCGCAAGATGGCAGCCGCCTAGTAGTCTGCGACCTCGAGAGTCGTTGGGGTCAACGGGCTGCTCCAGAAATTGCATTTAGGGGTGGACTAGGCTCCGGATGGACTACTCGTTCTGACATATATGATATCGGAAATTGCATCAAGTGCATGGTATATGCTAATGCGCCAATTACAAATCAGGTCGAGTGGCGAGTTCCGGAACCACTCCAAGCTATTGTCGAAGCATGCATGCGCAAAGAGTCAAGTAAAAGGCCGACACTGCTTGCGCTGCGACAAATGGTGGAGGCACTGCCTATACATGATACCTGATATCAGGCTAGTCTTCAGAGGTCCTTCAAAGCTCGAGTTGGTAGATATCTATCATCTATTTTGTTGTTATTCTCCATGCTATCCCTCTATAGTAGAGATGACTCTTAAGCTAATTTTTCGTAACAATTCTTAGTTTATTATCTAAGGGTGTGCTATCTATTAAAACACGTGTATTATAGCTGCCTTCTTACTGCTTAATATAAGGCTATTGTACCTCTATATTTAGCAAAGTGTGTGTAGCATAACTGGAAATCTAAAGAAGGGGCGGAGAAGATATGTACAGTCGTTCTTCTCAGTTCGACTTTCACTTGAAATTACCAAGTAAAATAGAAATAATTCTGCTACTACTTCTCTATTAATGTAATTACAAGTCTTTATCCTCACAGTGTGGCCATGTATTACATAAAGATCACGTTATAAAGGCACGGGCCGACCCTCGAACCTGACGATAGTTACACAAGGGCTCGAGACCTAGTAGAGGCCTCAGGTTGCAGGCTTGCTTGCTCACCGCTGCTTTGTATAAATAGAGGTTATTGGCCTTTTCAGGCTTTCACAAAACCAACAACCTAGAAGAATTAGCCGAATGCGAATACTATTCCAAGCCCTCCAACTAAGCCCTTGTCACACCATGGCCGCTACTGTAGTTGCTCATCTTACAATGCTTTACCTACCCTTGGTCGCGCGGACGACCAGTTCGTTAACCGCGACCTAGTCTTTAAGCAGCTGGCAGAGTTGCTGGCAAAGTATAATAATACGTTTGGCAACTGTCTTGTCCATTCTCACTGCAAGCTTGCCGATGGGGAGATGATGCTCGCCAAGGAAGACGTCTCCGAGCCAGTGCAGCTGGCACTCATCGAACAGTACTACCCCGAACGCTGGTTAGCTAATGGTACGCCGTATGAGTTCTCGACTCTCAAGACAGATGACCCACCGCAAGATCTCGTCGAGGAGTTTTACCGTATCACACAGGGTTTCGGTCTACAGAACATTCTTGGCTTCTACCACATTAAGGGAAGTCAAGATGCCCCCGCTGTTATTGAATGGACCGAAGGCTGGAAGAATCTTACTCGAGCTATGACGGAAGAAGACAAATCTGCGCAGCCGGTACAAACAGCTTGGAACTTTGGGCGTGGCGGCCCTATCACCATGGCTTGCACGATTGTCTGCGATACTCGAACCACACGTAGTGGAGCCAGCAATGCGCACAAAGGTACTAGAACCCAGCTACCGCTTATCATGCGTTCTAACCCCTGTTCGAATGCAGGCACTCAGAGCCACCCGAAGACTGAGGATTCCATTTAGCCTCGAGGCATGTGAATTTACGAATAGGGAATATGAGTAACATGTAGGTTTAGGATACCTACTTCTTAGCTCCTTTTACACATCTATCAATTAATGCTTTGCTTTAGTTTCCCGCTTCTCTTGAAACGGAAAACGTACATTGTATTTGTGAAAGGCCTCTAGCGAGTTAATCCAACTAACTGGTTCTCTGTTACCACTGCTCCTATTTTTAATACTCGTATGAGGGTGCAATACAATAAATGATACGAATTCGATCTGAGGCGTGTCTGGGGGGCTGTTTCTCTCTTTAGAACCAAATGTCACAGTCTAAAGAGAGCAATTTCGGGTTGGAGTGAGGGCAAAGTACCATACATAAGAAGGTCTCTTGCCTATAAAAGTAAATCTCATTACAGAAAAGCCCTTTACAACCCCCACCAAGCTCTCGCAAGTCTCAATTCCAAAAGCACGGCTCAACCTTCCACCTAATATGAAGCTCCTTCTGTTCGCTAGATCCCTCTTCTTACCCATGGCGATGCATCAGACTTTTGCTTGCTACCGAGGCAAATCCTGCGCCCGGAAATTGGGGGAAGCTCAAGGAGCTGTAACTAAGCTTGCCAAGCGGCAGGTTCTAAGTTGGTGTAGTTGAAAGCAGTGGTACAAAGTGATTCCCATAATGACATTGAATTCATCACCCCACATCCACACCGGAATTACGGAGAGTCAACTTGTCAAATTATAAGCCCCTCGACTAAATCTGTTCTTACGAACGCAGATTCTCATCGAATATACGAAAGTGCCTATAGCCTTAAAGCATACTAAAGTAAAGTGGTTAGTTGCAAAGCTCTTAATAGTATACGATATATGTTTAGTATAATGTAATTCCAATACTTTACTAAAACTTGTATAAAATGATTATATTAATGAAAATAATATATTTAAATAACTTACTTAAAAGAATATATAAAATATATTTTCATTTTAATTATAACTTTAATAGTAAGTTAAATATTTATAAAAAAAACCTTTGAAGATACAATGTAAATTATCACTTATAGTATTAAGCGTAAGGCAATATAATATATAAAAGTGTTATATCTTATATAAGTAATATTGTTTTCTAAGAAAAGCTTGTTCAAGATGATTTCGAGGATACCGAAGATCTCGTCATGCAGCTACCACTTCTTCACGTCGACCCTTCCCAGCATTTCGTCAAGGAGGCGAAATATAGGAGCGAGATTGAGAACCTGTTAATATGTCAGGGCGGGTCGTGTCCTGGATCGATCCTTTCCAGGCACCTTGTTCGTCTCCTTGGCAGATCTTCTAATGGCCAGCTAGTCTTCGAAAGTTAGCCACGAGAGCGTCCATCTTACCGCGATTTTCCTCCCTAGCAATTTACAAGCGCTGGATACTCCATATTATCGACGGGCTGACTTGTCTCCACGATTTCGGTATCGTTCACCGGGATCTTCGTATCGATAATTGTCTCTTTGCGCAAGATGGCAGCCGCCTAGTAGTCTGCGACCTCGAGAGTCGTTGGGGTCAACGGGCTGCTCCAGAAATTGCATTTAGGGGTGGACTAGGCTTATAAGCCCCTCGACTAAATGACATATATGATATCGGAAATTGCATCAAGTGCATGGTATATGCTAATGCGCCAATTACAAATCAGGTCGAGTGGCGAGTTCCGGAACCACTCCAAGCTATTGTCGAAGCATGCATGCGCAAAGAGTCAAGTAAAAGGCCGACACTGCTTGCGCTGCGACAAATGGTGGAGGCACTGCCTATACATGATACCTGATATCAGGCTAGTCTTCAGAGGTCCTTCAAAGCTCGAGTTGGTAGATATCTATCATCTATTTTGTTGTTATTCTCCATGCTATCCCTCTATAGTAGAGATGACTCTTAAGCTAATTTTTCGTAACAATTCTTAGTTTATTATCTAAGGGTGTGCTATCTATTAAAACACGTGTATTATAGCTGCCTTCTTACTGCTTAATATAAGGCTATTGTACCTCTATATTTAGCAAAGTGTGTGTAGCATAACTGGAAATCTAAAGAAGGGGCGGAGAAGATATGTACAGTCGTTCTTCTCAGTTCGACTTTCACTTGAAATTACCAAGTAAAATAGAAATAATTCTGCTACTACTTCTCTATTAATGTAATTACAAGTCTTTATCCTCACAGTGTGGCCATGTATTACATAAAGATCACGTTATAAAGGCACGGGCCGACCCTCGAACCTGACGATAGTTACACAAGGGCTCGAGACCTAGTAGAGGCCTCAGGTTGCAGGCTTGCTTGCTCACCGCTGCTTTGTATAAATAGAGGTTATTGGCCTTTTCAGGCTTTCACAAAACCAACAACCTAGAAGAATTAGCCGAATGCGAATACTATTCCAAGCCCTCCAACTAAGCCCTTGTCACACCATGGCCGCTACTGTAGTTGCTCATCTTACAATGCTTTACCTACCCTTGGTCGCGCGGACGACCAGTTCGTTAACCGCGACCTAGTCTTTAAGCAGCTGGCAGAGTTGCTGGCAAAGTATAATAATACGTTTGGCAACTGTCTTGTCCATTCTCACTGCAAGCTTGCCGATGGGGAGATGATGCTCGCCAAGGAAGACGTCTCCGAGCCAGTGCAGCTGGCACTCATCGAACAGTACTACCCCGAACGCTGGTTAGCTAATGGTACGCCGTATGAGTTCTCGACTCTCAAGACAGATGACCCACCGCAAGATCTCGTCGAGGAGTTTTACCGTATCACACAGGGTTTCGGTCTACAGAACATTCTTGGCTTCTACCACATTAAGGGAAGTCAAGATGCCCCCGCTGTTATTGAATGGACCGAAGGCTGGAAGAATCTTACTCGAGCTATGACGGAAGAAGACAAATCTGCGCAGCCGGTACAAACAGCTTGGAACTTTGGGCGTGGCGGCCCTATCACCATGGCTTGCACGATTGTCTGCGATACTCGAACCACACGTAGTGGAGCCAGCAATGCGCACAAAGGTACTAGAACCCAGCTACCGCTTATCATGCGTTCTAACCCCTGTTCGAATGCAGGCACTCAGAGCCACCCGAAGACTGAGGATTCCATTTAGCCTCGAGGCATGTGAATTTACGAATAGGGAATATGAGTAACATGTAGGTTTAGGATACCTACTTCTTAGCTCCTTTTACACATCTATCAATTAATGCTTTGCTTTAGTTTCCCGCTTCTCTTGAAACGGAAAACGTACATTGTATTTGTGAAAGGCCTCTAGCGAGTTAATCCAACTAACTGGTTCTCTGTTACCACTGCTCCTATTTTTAATACTCGTATGAGGGTGCAATACAATAAATGATACGAATTCGATCTGAGGCGTGTCTGGGGGGCTGTTTCTCTCTTTAGAACCAAATGTCACAGTCTAAAGAGAGCAATTTCGGGTTGGAGTGAGGGCAAAGTACCATACATAAGAAGGTCTCTTGCCTATAAAAGTAAATCTCATTACAGAAAAGCCCTTTACAACCCCCACCAAGCTCTCGCAAGTCTCAATTCCAAAAGCACGGCTCAACCTTCCACCTAATATGAAGCTCCTTCTGTTCGCTAGATCCCTCTTCTTACCCATGGCGATGCATCAGACTTTTGCTTGCTACCGAGGCAAATCCTGCGCCCGGAAATTGGGGGAAGCTCAAGGAGCTGTAACTAAGCTTGCCAAGCGGCAGGTTCTAAGTTGGTGTAGTTGAAAGCAGTGGTACAAAGTGATTCCCATAATGACATTGAATTCATCACCCCACATCCACACCGGAATTACGGAGAGTCAACTTGTCAAATTATAAGCCCCTCGACTAAATCTGTTCTTACGAACGCAGATTCTCATCGAATATACGAAAGTGCCTATAGCCTTAAAGCATACTAAAGTAAAGTGGTTAGTTGCAAAGCTCTTAATAGTATACGATATATGTTTAGTATAATGTAATTCCAATACTTTACTAAAACTTGTATAAAATGATTATATTAATGAAAATAATATATTTAAATAACTTACTTAAAAGAATATATAAAATATATTTTCATTTTAATTATAACTTTAATAGTAAGTTAAATATTTATAAAAAAAACCTTTGAAGATACAATGTAAATTATCACTTATAGTATTAAGCGTAAGGCAATATAATATATAAAAGTGTTATATCTTATATAAGTAATATTGTTTTCTAAGTAAAGCTTAAATAAGCTAATAAGCGCTTAAAAATTTTATATAAGCTACCTACGACTTCTTTTCTTAGTCCTTATCCATTTTATAATCATTAATAATATAACCAGTTACGACCTTTTACTTGGTCCTCGTCTAAATGTCCTTAATTGCCGGTCATGCGGACAGCCAGGCTGCAACTAATATGCTATTCAACGTCCAGCTGGACTTGAACCTGCTAGCACCTGAGGCGTATACCACTCGACTCCGTACAGAGCGCAGAGGGGACTTTAATCCGGGATCTCTAATGAGTTATCTTATGACTACAGCAGTGGTCCAAAATGATACTCGTCCAAGCACTTTATTCATAGGGCGCGGTGAAAGTAAATAACATGTCTGGCTGTACCCAAGCTAGAGAAAAGCACTTTACTGCGTCATACACCATGAATGCCACGCAGCATATTTCCCCATGTATAGCATGGTTGAGAAACTAGTCCCCTACAATATGCAATATGATGATCCCTGGAATCTAAATTCTATATGAATATAGCTGTAGTTCTAAATGGCTTCAACGCAACACAATCATGTACCCAGGGAAGAGAGAGTCTGGCTTGGGGTTTCATGGCTGCCTTTGTGTGTCGGCGCCCAGCCTTCGGGTCAACACGCGTTGCCACTCTGTCTGCGTGGAAAGTCAATGATATCCTTGCACCTGTCATGTTTTCGGGCAAAGCGTCCTGCATCTACCCGAGATGGAGGGTGGTTGGACGGTGGTGCGTTCGGGATCATGTGGATCTGGGGGCTAATATCAGTTGATGTAAGACGTCAATGCTATTGACCAGACGGAATGACGTACAACCACCGCGCGCGGCTCCCACTCAGCCTCAAGCCCTTACTGCGAGGGCTTTCTAATAACCGCGCGGCATGACCCACCACATTCAAGGTTGACAATTTCGATCGGCGACATGGCGATAGTTGCCGCCAATTCCTAGCATGCCTCCTTCCGTTACTTGGCCCAGCCGGCACACAATCCGGGTTGATAATGAGCAAGTCATTTTCCAACAGGCGCACGCTCGGATGACATACTCATTGGCATGATTTACGGATGGTGCGGTATTTTATAGCCCACAAAATGCGGGGACATGTCTAGATCCACGGGCATAAACTGTCCACCGGTCAACGGTGGTGCCAACGGATGTGATGATGCAGGTCTCCACTGCCATTAGTTCCGAATATCTTGACAAGTGTACAAATGCTTGTCGTACTCTGCTTCTGATCATGGGCAGCCACAGCCCTGATTCCGGTTCCTCTACCAGTCCAGTCAAGGTACGGATGCCTCAAGGTTGCTCTCATTCGACCTGCTCAACTCGTCTGTTACCAAGACAGTTTCATACTGCACCTGTAATACACAAACTCGAAAACATGTTTGGTCACTGATAGAGTGGGATGAGTTCGCCACGGTGTGGGCGGCCCCTGACTCGAGCAGCTATCGATTCGATGCCACTTGGACCCCAATTGGTTTGCGGATCGCCGTTGGTTGGTTGCTCCCCTTGAGCCATGACAGATTTGGGAAACTCTAAATTAATAATACGCTAATCGCGCCATCTAGCGACATGACCAATGCTGACCAAGTTGGCTCATGCCGTAGTGTCGGTCACGAAATGGGGCTAACCATTTGCGTGAGAGGAACAGGTATATATAATACCTGAAGAAACTCCTCCGCTTCGTTCTGCTCCTACCATCACATTATCCAACATCCAGTGCGAACTCAACTACATACTATTTCCACCATCCAAACGTCATCCCCCAAGCAAAATGGGTTCAGTTGCCAACGTCAGCGCCGATCAGTGGCTCGCCGCCGCCAGCTACCGCCGTTCAGTATATCCCCTCAAGGGAACCAGCAGCGTGTCCGACGCCCGCGTTCAAGAGATCATCGAAAAGGTCCTCTCTTTCTCTCCGTCTTCCTACAACACTCAGCCTGTCCGCATTACCCTGATCACTGGGCCGAAACACAAGCAATTCTGGGACACCATCATTACCGCAGCTGAGCCCGTGTTGAAGGGCATCAGTGAAGATGTTTGGAATGCCATGAGCCCCAAGTTTGAGCTATTCAAGAGCGCTTATGGATCTGTAAGTATATTATGTCTGACGCGGATATGTTCATAAGCTTACTTACCGGTAACAAGGTGGTATTCTGGGAGTCTGGAAACACAATCAAGGAATCTGGAGAGACGCACAAGTCGGCTGCGCACATGTTTGCCGAGTTTTCCGACCATGCCAACGGCATGTCCCAGATCCTGGTCTGGACTGCGCTCGAGTTGGAGGGACTTGGAGCAAACTTGCAGCATCTCAACGCCATTCCCCCTGTTGAGGCCGCAATTAAGAAGTTTGTTGGCGTCCCTGAGGACTACAAGCTGAAGGCACACTTGAACTATGGTGACGAGGCCGCGGAGCACCCTGCGAATCCCGGGAAGCTTCCATTTTCCGAGACTTTGAAGGTCATCTCATAAAACGCGACATGACATGTTAGACAGCGTAGAATATAGAATAACATACTATTATTTGGCCTACTTGGTTGATAGTTTACCACTTGACGTGAGATGATGAGCACGCCACAGCATCCTACCCTGTAGTAACCTGCATTCGGAATAAAGTCATCTTGCAGGTTTTGAAGAGAGCAAGCCCATCCCATTTTATCTCGGGTTGGAACTTCTATTTGGGAATGTAGCCCCACGATTGAGCTGGGGCATCACGCTGTCGCCCGCATGTGAGTCGAAATATTCGCCTTCTTTGGCCTTTGTCACAACGAGCATGTAGAATGAGACGTATTGGAGGCCGGAAAAGTTGATTCTACGAGAAAACAACCCCGCGCTCATGGGCTGGGAAACCCAAGTGCAGGCCTGCGCCACGTTGCGGAAGCATTTCCACCAGCCGACTCGGGCGTCCGCCCGTTTGTAGCTTCTTGTTGACGGTGGTTGCTCCGTACTTGTAGGCCTTTTGAAAGCCCGGCGGAAGCTTTTTCGCAAGGCATCCAATGGCTCCCTTGTGTCAGATTGTGACGGTATAGAATGACGGATGCTTTGGGAGGCTTGGCTTGTCCAATTTCACTCGGTCCCCAAGTTCTTGACCCTTTAACGTTCCCAAGCTCAAGGGCTACGTCCTTCCAAGAGTCTACCAAATCAGCTACAGTATTGTCTCGAGACACAACGAATTGTCATTATTTTCACACCTTAAGAGCTCGGGATATCCGTCGAGCCATATTCGTTCCGCAGGAAGTCGGAAGACTGCCACGAGTCGCGCGTTGGCCTTGCCTACCGATGGGTCCTATATCACTAAGTGCTCGATGGAAAGCTTGGTGATTCCATGATCTGGGCGCTGCAAGCTACGAACAATTGACAGAGGCATTGACTGAGCTTGGAAAATTCCCTTTAAAGCGGTCAGTTGTGCAGAAGATAAACAACCTTTGTGAAGTCATCAAAGACGAGGCGCTTGTGGATAACCCGAAGTCCGCACAGAGGGTTTTTAGCGCTTGAATATGTTTCTATGCTTCATATTTTTTTAAGCTGAAACTATCCGGAATGAAGGATAAAGATATATGTATCGTACTTATAGAAAATGTGCCCTTAGTAGTTCTGGTTTGACCACTCGTCATCCCATTCCCGAAACTTTTCAAGCCCAAAAAATGCAACGAGGACCATGTGCGTATGTGTTGTTGCTTCCACATAAGGCAGAGACCATGGTACAGCGCAAGGAGTCCTTTTGAATCAATAGCCCATAACCGAGCCCAAGATCTGATTCTCATGAGAGAATGGGAGGGCCAAAAAAACGATGGCGCAACTTACATCTGTGCCACTCCATGGTCAGCTATTCAGAGAGAGTACAATACTCTGTTACTTACTATTAGCAGACGATGGCAGCTTGAGTCACTATCCGCCGAACATCAAGGTTGTTATTGGTACATAGGTAACAAGAAAAGCTTGACTGAAGCACTTTGACTCATCTCTTCTATCGCGCCAAGGGCTCGGTTCTGGGGCGCCCTCGAACTTTGCTTGACGTCAACAGCTCCCCTTTATACGACCGTCCTTATATGACCGTCCTAGCTTCACCAGCCGTATTTACGTTTCTGGAAAGATCCCACTGCAGCATCACGTCCGCAAATTTCTGTGATTTAAGTCATCTGCCAAATTACATCGAATAGCCCCATGCTCAGCAACACGACGCTTCCATAGGCTGGCTGCTAGCTTGTGGTTTGCTTGTCTGCTCGGTTACCGCCGCGGTAGGCCAGCAGTGAGAGTCATATTCACCCGACATTTATCTTCTTTAAACAAGATATTAGAAGCGTTACTTGATCATCACGCATGAAGCTTGACCAAGTACCTTCATGTATATCGGTCTGCGTCTGGTCTCCTACTTGAAACGACATGTCTCGAAGCAATCTGCGGGAATAGGACCTGAAAAAGACAGCACAGAATGACCCCCACAGAGATCAGAGTCAGAAAGGACGGAAATACTCCTCACATTTCGAAACACAGTTCATGAGATTATTCGAAAACGACACACGTTGACCGATCGCACGCGAACTCGTCTCGAAGATGAGCAGGCTCTAGGTACGCTAGGCCAGGACTCAGGAGTTATTCAGTGGGCTGTCTGGCCATAAGCCTCTGGGCTCAGTGGCTGGATATGTGGTAGATCTTTCAGCACCCATAGTCATGCTCCTTTACGTTGATTCTCTGTACAACGAATACGTCTGTATGCGTATGGCCAGTATTTTATACCATGTCACGAGGACAGTGCAGTTGCCCTCTACCAGGTCCTAACAAACATCGTCAGCGAGTTCCCCGAAGATCACTATCAGCCTACAACCGGCGGAAAGTTGGAGTCAGAGCGGTGGTCTCTTAAAAAAGCTACTTGGCATGAATTGAGGTTTTGGGGCGCGGTCCTGTGTCTTGCTATCAGTCGAGCGGTCGGATGAGAGTGAACGAACTTCCCATACGACAATCGTTGGTAGCAAATCCACTTGGCAACGATTATATTGCGAATCAACAAGAAGCCATCAGAAATTCAGGGACCGTATAAACTCTTAATTTAAGCATTTCACGCCAAGGCAGCTCCGCGGAGATAACGAAAAGGTCCCACCAAATAGGCTGCTAATTATGAAAAGCGACGGTGTAGCAAAACCACCATTAATGGTAAGGTTAAGAATGTTTAATACGGCATCAAATTCACGTGTTTCCATGACAAGACCTAGGATAGCCAATGAAGATGGATTTTGGGCTTCTAGGTGCAATCCTAAATAAACTGGATCAACTAGACATGGAGTGCTAGGCCTCGAGCCATCTAGTTAGTCTGTGAGCTCGGAAATATTGACAGATGGGGCTATTAGCTAAGTCACATACTAATAGCTGCTTTTAAAATCCCTTTATTATATAAAAAACTTCAATTAAAAAATATTAAAAATAAAAATGTTATGAATATTAAGTATATTATAATTCTTTTTTATAATAT